CGCATTCGAAATGATCATCATACTGAGCTACTCTATCTCAGTACCGCAGCAATCATATGATCAAATCGCCGTTCACAGAAGCTGAGGCTCTGGATGCTGATTCATATCATCGGAGCATAATAATAATAATAAAGTAGAAGACTCAGTATTAGTATAGTGAACCTTCTTGTTTTTTCTGGGTACTGTCTGCTTGAAGATTTCTCTTTCCGATGCCTATGGCTTGTCCAAAGATTGGGAGAAGAAATGACTGGAGAGACTTTCTCAGCTGGGGTTTCCCCATCAGTGTTAGACATTCTTCAAGTATTAGTATGATATATATGACTTGGTCTTATACTATTACAATCAAATTTTTTAGAATTCGTTATGCTGTTGTAATAAGCAAGAAAATAAATTCTATAACTCTGTATGTGAAGATAGCATCCACAACGGCATTACGTTCAGTAATGTGTTTTTGATAATCTTGTCATTCTGGTCTGACTTTTTTATACCACTCGTCCAGTCAGATGAAATTAGTATACGTCGCTCTCAAAACTTAATAAGACACTGTTTGGAATTTGGTTGAGAGGAGGTGTCAAGCTTTGATTCATGACCGGTCGACTTTGCGTGTTCGAGCTAGCCACCGAAGGCAGCCAAGATAGGCACGAACTTCGCGTTCATAACCGGTTGACTTTGCATATCTCGGCTTGACCTACATTGACTATCAAGATAGCACAAACTTCGCGCGGTCGAATTTGCGTGGTCATGTCTCTTTTGCCCCCTTTAGTCTCATAAAAACGAGACTTTATCCCTCTCAATACCAGTATTACAGGTTATCAATCATATCCTGCCCACGCGTGCTATATGAAGTTACTTATAAATGTGTAACATATGCATATGAACCAATCAGCTCGAACTGAAAATTTTGAATCAATCTCTCATTTGTGCCTCCTCCAAAAACCATCAAAAAATTAATAGGCATGAATCGTTTGCAGGAGCTCGAAGATCTCCAAGGTAAGAATGTAGCATATACGTAACAAATTTTAGAGGTAAGCATAAAAGACTAACGAGGTAAAATTAAAAACGAAGATTTAAAATTGGAAATTGGAATACCTCTTGTCTTGATACAGATGAATCGGATGAACTTGAAGATTTCGACGAGTCAGACGATGAAGATGCCTTGAATGCTAATGGTAATGTAATAATGAGAAACAATTAAGAAACTTGTGTATCTACTTGACAATTGTTTCACCAACATTGCACGTTTGATCGTGCGTTTGTCAAATAGACATAAAATATGCCGATTTTTTCGAAACACCAAAGAACCAGCGGAAACGTAAGGCAGATTCAGCTGACGCAAGTACTTCAGACGAGTATCTGATATCAGACGACGAAGAAGACAGTGCAAGTCCTTCTGAAGCTTTGAAGAAAAAAGTTAACGACTTGTTTGCTCAGGATGATAGCGATCATGGTTGGTAATGATGTTAATATATTACATGAAACTTCCCGATCTCTGAAAGAAATATATGCTCATTGGAGAGCTTTGATACTTTAGACGATGAACCCAAGTCCACCTTTCAGAAGCAACAAGATAAACTCATGAAACGGATAAAACTATTGGAGGCAGAGAATGTTGCCGAGAAAGACTGGACAATGACTGGAGAGGTATTGTGTCAATCCGCAAGACGTTTTAATGAGAGAATTGTTTAGCAAGTCAATGACATTACACTCGTTAAACTTGCTTAGGCATCGAGCAAAGACCGTCCGATCAACAGTTTACTTGAGGAAGATTTGGAATATGACTTTGTTTCCAAGGTATTTCTGATTTACTGTTACGTGAGATCCTAGATTAATTGGTATCGTTATTACTGATATGAACAAGCATAATGTTTTGTTACATAGCCTGTTCCGGTAATTACTGAAGACGTGACAAATAAATTAGAAGAAATAATAAAAAGAAGAATTCTGGACGTAAGCCATTTTTTACTTGTAGTCTGCAAACTAGCATTTTGGCGTCATTTGCGCAGATGACTGAATACATGTTACTTTATTATTCTTAAGGGTACTTTTGACGATGTGGAACGCAAACAAGATCCAAACTTTCGTCCCTTTCTTCCTTCAAAAGTTATTGAACTTTCGCACGAAAAATCACAAAAATCGCTTGCTGAAATATATGAAGACGAGTACGTTAAGCAAACGTCAGGAGATAAGACAAATGAAAAAGATGAGAGCTTAAGAAAAGAACATGAGCAAATAGAAGATATGTTTAAAGATTTATGCTTTAAGCTAGATGCATTGAGCAATTTCCATTATACACCTAAGCCGGTATGTAACAGTTTGTTGAATACAGTGTTGAAATGATTAATTCTCACTTTCACAAATTACCCCCATAATTCATCAACAGCCCAAACCCGAAGTCACTGTGATAACGAACGTAGCAGCAATAAACATGGAAGAAATAATACCGCTTAACGTGAACGATTCTAATTTATTGGCGCCAGAGGAAGTATATGACAAGAAGAATGCAGAAGTTAAAGGTGAAACTGAATTAACATCTGCGGATAAGAAGAATATCCGAGTGAAAAAGAAACGCGCAAAAAAGAAGGCAAAGAAGATGAGAGAACGTGAAGAAAAAGTTATAGAGAAGTATGTCTTCTTTTGTTTTGTTTCTGCATACGGACACTTTGAGCATTAATTCACGGGTGGTTGTTTTCTTTTTTAGGATGAATCCTGGTCTGGTAAAAAATCATTCTAAGAAAAAGGTTTTGGATAAATTGATTGGTCAGAAGGTACTGTATAAAAATAGTGATATTTGTTATGAAATAATTGGGCGAGCTTAATTTGACTTTCAACAATTTGCACTTTAGAATGTTACAATAATTGCCCGGGATGGGAAGAAAGAGTCGTTAGGGAAAAAGCCAGAGGGAAAGAACCGTGTAAACACAAGTAAAGCAGAAGACCTAAGATTATAGGATCGTTAGATTAAATAAATAAAGTAAGATAACAACATTCTTGCGAACCGAATTAAATAACTAGACATAAAAATCATATTGTGACCAGCTTTCCCTGATGAATGGAAGTATAGAACTCATCGTTTTAAAACTATTAACAACCGTTATTTGAGACGACAATAATTACATGCAATAGTAAATTTTACTATCAACCCACGCGATATCGAGTTCTCATTATTCTCGGACATGATATTAGGAAATTTCGGTGTTTGCTAATTACACCCACCTTGTATGAGATTCCCCGTACGTTCATACATGTCTCTGGACTTTATTGGTGAAATGCTTTCTTCAATCAGAATTCTTGATTGAATACTTACCAGTACTATTATGTAATGCGTTAATAAGTACGGGTACCATGAAAAGTATGGAATGAAATAATTTTATTACTATAACGGGGTGTCTAAAATGAATCGAATGAACAAGCCTGCTCAACGAATTGGTAATAAATTTAGTTAAAACTGTAAACAGCCCATGCCCTCTCGATTGTTTGTCTTGAGACATATGTAACTTCAAATTTTTATTTCGAGTTTTAATATTATATTTGTAGTAGTTACATAAAAATATCCAGCGAATCGACTCATGATTGTTGGCTCGCACAATAAAATTAACCTGCATCGATAGAACAGTATGAGAAATTTCACGCAAAATATCAAGACATGCGTTGTCATATTGAAGAAACAACTTACGATAAGATTTTTGGTATCTGTAACAGAATTATAGAATATTTGACGATTAGCATCAATATGTCTAATGACGACAAAAAAACAGACTCACTCTATTCTCTTCACAAAAACAATAATAATAGCATACCGTGCTCTGGCACCCGGTCCTCCAAACTTCTTTGGCTCGCACCGCCTGGGATCTGCAACCAACAAGGATCTGTCATAACGGATCAACGTATCTTTAATCTCTTTCTTTGTTGCTTCGTCGACATATTTTTGATGATAGGCTACTATCGCTTTTGCTATTGCCTGACGAATAGCGTATATCTGTGAAGTATGACCACCACCATTGACACGCACGCGAATGTCGACATTGGCAAATTTATCATGGTTGAAATGTTGCCGGAGAACCAGAATAGGTTCGTAAACTTTAAACCGGAGAATTTCTGGCTCAACCAAGTGAATTGGAGATCCGTTTATTTTCAATAATCCTTTGCCGCGTTTGCAATATGCGACGGCTGTGGCGGTTTTCTGTTGTGAATGTTTGTTATTATAAAGTTAAAAGATCGATTTGATTCGTCGTTATAGAAAGCCTGGGTTTCTTTCTCCAATCATTGACAGATAAGAAATTCCCGCTGACAAACCTTGCGGCCGTAACACTGTACAGCTTCCACCATACTTGCTTGTATATCTGTTAAATAGTCAGAAAAAGCTTATTGAGACCAATTCTCGTTAATGTCAAAAATAAACTACATCCATCCATTACCAAAAACTCTCCAAAAATGGTCTATTGTCTACATCGAGCAGATGGGATTCTCTGCACAAATGTTTGTTTATTAACATTCTCAACTTACCTTCAAGCAGATGACAATGCTGAAAAGAGAAGGAACAAGGGTAACCGACGAGGACGAATTTTAATTGAAACCAGGAAAAACGGTCACCAGAATTTTGGGGTGTTTCGGAAAATTTTTTTTCTTCAAAAAATTTGTATGGCTGAAGAAAAGGGTTTTTCTTCAACTCGTCAATCTTGCCCGAACATAAGTAGCAAACATGGTGGTAAGTCTACAAAGCTTTATTTTGTCATTAAAGATTCTTTTTATTCGTATTGAACGTTGCAAATGTATATGAGTATGAAGGGAACAAAAAGTGTGGACGTGCGACTACTGCGCCGAAGGTTTAATTGCTGGCAATTGCGAAAGCAGACTTTTTCGTCGCAAGTCTCATATTGTTAATAATGATTGCCGGACAATCACCAAAGCGAAAGTTATGGATATTATCTCCAATTCGCAGGAAAAGCGCATAATGATGAAACACCATCAGACACGTTCCATACATTTATTAACTCTATTAATGATTTCTCCTAAATAGTTGACTATTGATCTTCTCAATCCCAGCGCTGAACATGAGAAGCGCCAACACAAGTTGAAGAGATTGGTACAAAGTCCCAACTCGTATTTCATGGATGTAAAATGTCCAGGATGTTTCAATATTACAACCGTATTCAGTCACGCTCAAACAGTGGTGCTCTGTGGTTCCTGCGCAAATGTACTGTGTCAACCCACAGGTGGTCGCGCTCGATTAACAGAAGGTAAAGAAAAACGAACAATATAATTATTAATATCGCATCTGATGGAAGAATGTATATATCTAATATGGTATTTGCTTTATCAGGGTGTTCGTTTAGGAAAAAGATTGGTTAAGGCTATATGACATAATCTTAAATTTCGTAAAATTGTAATGAAATTCTGTTGTCCCGCCTTTCTTTTTCCTTATTTTAATGAATAAAAAAATATATATATATTCAAGGCTACTCGCCAATTTAGACCTTCCACTTCACTTGATTTTAATGTTGACGAGTACGTCGATTCTAAACATCTGGCTACTGAAGAGATACTGCCTCGATAATATGAACTGGAATCAAATTCAAAAATTTAAGAATCCGACTCTTCAGATGTTGCAATCCGGCCATAGTTAATAATTTGGGATTACGAATGATTGCTTGTGAATGCTAGTATTGGCTTTTTATTTTTTATTTATTATCAATTTGAATTGAAGTAATCGACATACACAGTATGACTGAACTATTAATCGCGTGCAGGAATCGTATGGATTCATTCGTTAATCTTTGCAAGAATTTCGTGATCTCGGAATATGTGATATTCTTCATCCCCGACTTTTATGGTATTTCCACCGTATGTTGGGATAAGCACTCGATCACCCTCTTTTACTTGTGGAGGAATATGCTTACCATGCTGAGGACAACAAAAAAAGTTCAGCATGCTGACAGAAGTTGCTACGCTGGCGATCATCTTCTAAATAAAACGTCTTACTTTGTCAAGAGCACCCTTTCCAACAGCAATTACTTGACCTTCGTTGTAAGTCTCTAATGATTTCTCTGGGATTAAAATTCCTGCCGCGGTTTTCTAATTACGTGGCGTCGTCGTTAGAACCATCGTTGTACTAAGCGAGTTGATCTGATCAAAACAGCAAAGAAATACCTGTTCTGCTTTGATGCGTTGAATGAGTACTCGGTCAAGAAGTGGTATGATAGATCTAATGTTTTTTGTTGCAGCGGCCTGAATGGACAATAACACACATTTTGTGTCGTGAATAAACACTACACACAATAAAATATTGCGTACTGTTTGGACTGTAGTAATAACATAAAACGTTCATATTACCATATTTACAAACCAATATGATTTTGGTCAACTGGTAGATTAACTGTTTGAATAGAAACTTTTAATAAAGATCAAGAGGCTACTCGTATAACACGCTTTTTTGATTTTTTTTTCCTGACAAAATTTTCAGGTGACACTAAGCGATTATCTTTTTTAATGAGCGAAACTTCTACAACATTCTACCTGCGATGCATATCACGTGGGAAAACCGATTCACGCGATGGAACTTGATGGAATTTGTTTGACTATCAACCAATCAGCTTTCAAGTAGTAAAAGCTTTAAACACCATTACTATGCTGCAAACTTAAATGGGGTCTCATCACTACATAACTTTTCGTTAAATGATAATTGACACGCGGACGATTAAATACATTATTTCCAGTTTATGTTCTTTATACTGTATAGTAAGATGTAACATGCTTTGAAAATTTTCAAATATCAAACAGTTTATCCCGGATATATCATAACACATGCACAATTTAGCCATAAGGTTCAAAAATTCTTATCTCCAAATTTAGTTGTCAAAATACATTCTTATAATTTCTGAACATAGCGTGATTCTATTACAAAACGCAAATAATTCTAAGGCATAATGAGAGACATGACAACAAAAATTATGCAATCAATTAGAAAATGTGGAGATACGGATTTAATTGCCCCTATCTTTTACCATAGTTCTACGAACATACAAATTCTCGAGTATTAACAGTTTGTCTTGAGGGGAATGTTGAGGAATATTGTAAATTATGAGTATGATTGACTCAATACACAAAGTACCGAAGAAACGAACACAGTACAAACAAGAGCATTCTTATTCATTATACTTTAAGTACTCTGAATATTTCTTCAGAGAACATCGCATGTTCATTAGTTTGCTTCTTGTTTATTTCTTTCTTGCATTTCTATGTTGACCACAAATGTTTGGTTGAATTCAAGTCAGGAGACCCGCTGGCGGGCATGTGACTAGGTTTTAAATAAACTCTTCAAATTTTTTGTATCTGGTTTTAAATCACCAAGACACATGTATATCTTCTATAGATCCGCCATTGAATAAACTTTGCTCGCGTTAGAATCGGGGAGAGTGGCTTTGGCTAAGTTCCTAACCTTTTCGTTTTCTAGTTTGAGATAATAAAAGTTAAAGATTTTAATAGTGCGTTTCATATAGTAACCATTAAAATAACAGGCTCTTTCATCGACTTGCAGTAATCGCCAGTTTGTTAATTTCTTTACCAACACCAGAATCGTGTTTTCACTACTAGCTACACCGTATAATTTGTGAGGTAGTCGACTGCATGTACAAAATGAAATTGTTAGTACCTTTTCTGCTTCTGTGGAAGCGCATTCATCCCTGTTCGTCGTTCCCCGTCTTTTGTAGTGGCACTTGCGTGATCAACACGTATCGTACGCCCTAGAATCTACAGAGCTCCATTCAGTCATCAATCCACATACATTCTTTGTTTATCTGTAAAATGCTTTACCTTGATACCATTGAGATTATCTACTGCGAGTATCGTACTTCTTTGATCTTCATATCTAATAAATGCAAATCCCTTCGACTTTCCTGTCTGCTGATCACGAATCAAATCTATGTTCAATATTTCACCGTATCTGTTGCCAGTTTGTTAATAAATAAAAATTCGGTAATTCTTTTCGGAAGCAATAGACATGATGAATGAACTCAACAAAATCTTACTGAGAAAATACACATATAATGTCTCCTTCCGTGAGCTCAAATGGAATATTACCGACAAATATGTAAGGAGAATCCGCATACTGATTGTGCCAAGAGGCCGTCTCGGAGATGTTGCGCTCTGCCTCGCGAGTATTTATACGAAGGATTTCTTTGGTAACGCTGTTTGAGTCAAAAAAAAGTAGTGTTGACTGGGTAAACAGGTGATGTTGTAAGTTATGCTATAAGGCTTTATTAGCATTAGCGTTATATAAACACTTACTTCATAATTTGAGAAGAGAGAAATTCCAGTGATAATAGCAACCCGGATCACAATTAAATTATTGACCACGTGATGAATAAAAATAGTCGCGTAACGAATATTCAAGGAAAACCCCGTTTAATACGAGAATCGCAGTATTTATGCTCCCGTTAACATAATTCTGGCCAAAAATTTATTCTTTAACAAATGTTATTTGCTACCTAATTGACAACTCTTTTTATGTCTAAGGATCTCAATCGGACTAAACGAATAATCTTTCCCACAAATATCACAATGGAAATTCTTTCCCTGTTCATTTTTCCCTTCATCATATTCCGTTACATTCTTCTTCAGTTTGTCAACCAGAAAATCAACATACTCATTCTCATTCTCATCCATAATATACTTATTCTCCTCCTTACCACACCTCATCGTATGTTCCTCAATTTCCGTTTGATTAAAGGTAAAATCCGAATTGCATTTCTCACAATGCCAGTAAGAACGATAAACGTAGTCACGCCGCTTGTTTGCTGTGACAGAGTCTGCTGAAGAAGATTTCGTTCCAAGACTGCTGGGGTGGACACTATTCCATCGCAAATAAGACGTTATTTGAACTCCATGCTTTACCACTATCGTAGGAACGGGGGTGAACATGACAGAATCATGAAAATAACATGCATTTGATTAATCATCAAAATTCACCTTTTTCAGAATCCCATATTGTTGGATCCTCTTCTTTCGAAGTTTGACCAGAAGACTGAGGAAACTAAACCAAATCCATTGCTGCTTAATTCTTGGCAATCGGTGATTTCAATGAAAACAAAAAACTAATATTCTGTTACCATCAATAACAGCTCGGAAGCTTTGGCACGCCCGGTTTCGCATGTGATCGGTGAATCCATGAAACCAGCCAATTTACGCGACAATTCTTCCGATAATGCTGAAAAATCATCTTCATCATATTCCTGCTCATACTTGTCCATTAGCCATTCATCCTTATATATCTTTTGTATTGCGGGTGGCATCGTCAGGAGAACGTCATCAGATACTTTGTCTCCCACGGTATCTCTTTTGCTCGTGGAGAAACTAGCCTACAAAATGGTCATAATTCTCAATAATCTGCCTTGTATCGCGAGTTTACGTGTAGGACACAGTTGGATTCTCACGATCATACTCCTTTCTCACCTTTCGTTTACCACTCTCTAGTTTCCGTTCGACCAATAAGCCCCATAGTTTCCTCAACTGATAAGTTATGACTAACACTTTTTCCGCTATCCTCGCACCGCGAAATCGTAGTACCAGGTAGTCGTCGACGATAATTAGCGAACAGTCGGCATTAGTATCAATGGAACTGCCAAACAGAAGACTCGTATGTACTGTCGGAACACGCATAATGTTCACAAGATAAGGTTTGTTGGTTTCCAGTAACTGAACATAGGCTAAAAGTTCGTCATTTGCATCTTTTGGTAAAACACCGGATCGAGATGTAGTATATATGAGACAGCGATACAAAAAAATAGCAAAAATGACATCAGAAAGGCTTGAAAACTTGAAGATAGGCCCGGCTAGCAACAAAAGAATGGCGGGCCGCGACAATGTGATTATAAGTACCAGATCCTCGACCAGAAACAAGCCAATCCGGGTTAGCATAGAACACACTTGTTGGGTGAATGTTCAAAAATCTATTTTGAAATTGATGTAATTTGAGGATAAAAGAATACACAGACATCTGAGTCATGACTGTCATTACACAACTACCGTTTTGTTTTTGTATGAAATATCTGCTCATTCATTTTTCTCACTTCGTTGTGTTCGTCTTCAACGGCGAGCTGCGGATACAATCCTAAAATTAATATTTACTATTAATATATTATATGAACACACTAACAATGAACCAAATGATTAACTTTAACGGACTACCTGAACAAAGAATAAGTTTCAGAACGTTTATATCTTTTTCAGAGGCAAGTGCAGACGTTGACCTGAATAAATGAATACGTTAATCGATCGCTTTACAAAAAAGACTGCACGAAACAAGCCTGTTATACAACTTTTCTCGAAGAGATTTAGCATCATGAGACAGATTAAATTCGAGGTCGCGTATATCTATGTGTTCAAGATCCGTATCTGTCAACTCAAAAATAAGTCACTATTTGTGTTAGATAACCATAACCATCTGACCAATGTATGTACCGTCTCGTTCTTCCTCCCCTTCTTCCTGAAACTTTAGTATTTTCCTTCTCTTTGATGATTTCTGAATATATTTTTGCCGACGAAGCAAATGTTGTTGTTCTTTCCGTTTACGCTTGTCACGCTGATAAATGCAATCAACACAGGCTTCGGTTTAACAGCTGCAACAATTGAAGGTATGTTGGGTCAGAAATATGAGGATTAGCATACCGCGCTCATCCACTCGCGCTCTTGTTCTCGTCTATTGTTTTCTTGCGATATTAGGCCTGCGTCACCCATGATGTCTTCAAACTGTCGCTTTAACTTGGTTATTTCGTATAATCGTTGCTCTTCGACGCCATGACGCTTGCACCATGATCGCGATGATTCCTGCATAGCAAATATACATTGAGCATTAAAATTATAAAGCATATGATTGTCATATCGTCAATACCATTTAATTACCGATCGATCGGCTTTGATTTTGACCCATTCTTGCCATACATTAAGTAGAGTAAACGGATCTCCATGAGATGAATCTAAAGTGCGACGATTCTGTTTAAATTGAATTTTAATAAATAATATTGTATCAGAAAACAAAATAATACTACATCATACCTGAATTATTTCTGGTTTCGGATTATTTCCTAAGCGTATGAATGGAGACTGTACATTGAGTGCTGCTGCTATGGTCACCACTGGTTCTATCAGATCAAATACCTGCAAGATTGAAACATACGATCATTAATAGCTACGGTTGGCACTGACGTATTGCAAACAAATTATCTAGTACCGTAGCCATTACGAGCATCTTCCCCAAGATGACATCTATTGGCAAGTTAGAAAGAACTCTGCCAAGCGCGGTCAGATTCTCGCGGTCGTCGAGCGCACCCAACATTTGTAAAAATTTTATTGAAGATTCGATTGATGCCGTTGGCGGGCGCTTTTTGAAGTGTCAGTTAGTAGTCTATCAAAAGCGTTCCATCGCTACTGGGTCAACTAAGCAATATATTCTATTTTTTGACTAAATGTGCTGTTACTTACTTCAACGTAATCAAAGTCTCTTGGGTCGCCGAGATCAAGAGCCTTTAATTGCAGAACAATAGGTTCGACGGGTACCCGAAGAATCTCTGGTATGGCAAAATCATTCAGATGCTGATATTCGCGTTCAGAATATAACCGATAACATATGCTGTAATAGACAAGGAAAGTATGATTGGGTTTTGCTTCTTGGTAAACCTGAGCACGTTTCGATCAGCTATTAATTTCTTTTACCCTGGTCCAGTTCGTCCGGCTCTTCCTAGAGCATCACGTTCATATCAGCATGATATACAAAATTACATCAGCGACTAAAAATTATGTCCTCATACCAGCACGCTGCTTAGCACTGGCTTTCGAGATCCAAAATTCTGATAATTTATGTAACCCTTCATCGTGTCCTAACTCTTTCACCCTGCCTAACATTATCGAATTGGGATCATTAGCATTAAGAAAAAGATAATGATAAGAATTAATACTAATTCTAACGTAAATGACTTGTTTATACCAGAATCAATGATAAAACGTATTCCATCAATAGTGACAGACGTCTCTGCAATGTTGGAAGAAATAATACATTTTCTAATTCCTTCTGGTGCAATGTCAAACACCTTCAAAAAGCACAAAGAGACTGTAGATAAGTCGTTGTTATTCTCACGTAATTAATCGATACAACATTCTCAAGCCGTGGTTGCACTCCATCGGTATCATATAAACACCTTTTCTTGTTCTTCAACTGATAGCGAGGAATGCAGCATCAATACAATCCACCGCTTGGTATAATTTGCATATAACTTCACTTCTTCAGCCAACTGTGAGATTTCGTTTATACCACTCATGAAAATTAACAAATCACCTCGTTCATTGGCTGAGTATGTTTGATCTATTTGTTCCATGATTTTTAAATATGGTGTTGAGTCGATGCGATCGGACTTGGCCGGAATGGAATACTTCCAGCACAAAGAGATGTGAGTAATAAACATTTATGGATTATAAAAGCGCTATTTGAAAAAAAATAAATAAATGTACTTTGATGTCAGCCTCTAGCCTAGCTTTGTAGTTCTTATCATCAATGAGATTAATGTCTTCCTCGTTGTGTGGGCGATAAAGGATTTCGACTTCATACATCTTTCCCGGAATCTAATAGTACGAAAAGCGAAGTTTAGAGGAATAAAGATCAAAAGTACGTGTGGTTATCAACAAACGTATCCTCGTACTGTTATTGTCGGAGCATCAAAATATTTTGAAAATAGTTCGCTGTTAATCGTAGCAGACATTAATACAATATAAACATCCTCACGATCCCGTAATAGTTGCTTTAACACTCCGAGTAGAAAATCACCTTCAGTAAACAAGCAATAATTCTTGTTAGAAAACGAATTATCTTCATCTCTAGCACCAAAAATGCCAAAGTTTTTACCCATCAAATGTCTCTCGTGAACTTCATCTACTATGATGACATCATATTGAGCCAGCCAATTGTCACTAGCATATTGACGTAGGAGCAAGCCTTCTGTCAAGAAGAGTATGCGTGTTTTGTTCGACTTTGTACCTTCAAATCTAACCTGAAATTGATATCAACTCGATTAATGGGTCTTGTAAGTCGTATAGTCGGTGAGACCACGTGCGGATTGACGATAACCTGGTAACCGATCTGAGATCCATATGCTTTCATAGTTTCATAACTAGTATAATGAGGAAGTATAAAAACATTTATCATTTTTCCAAACTGGACAATATAAGCTCTAAATTTATTGCTTACAAGATGGCAAACTTACCCAACTCTCTTGGCAAGAGAAAAACATGCGATCCTCCTGGGCTGAGTGCAAGCGATCTTTTGAACTCCTGCTTCCATCAAATACTGTGGTACTTGTGTTGACTTCCCGCATCCTACGTTCGTTGTAGACAATCAGCATCCAACCCATCACTCGACATTATAGATGAGGTAAAGAAACATACCAGTATCTCCAGCGACAAGAATGACGCGATGTCGACGAAGCGCTGTCAGTATTGCATCTTTGAATGGAGCAATCGGTAATGCTGCACGATCCTACAGTGTGAGATATTGACATCAATCCTCAGGAGTTCATATTCAGCTTTCGCTACTTCAGACTAACCTTTTGAATCTTTTCTTTTGTTGCAGCGTCCTTCTTTCTCTTAAAATCATCAAATAGCACCAGCGCATATTTCACAGATTTTAACTCTTCTGCAGATTTTGTGAGACGTTTCTGCGAAGGCTGTTCCTTAGCAAGCTGTTTCAATTTGATTTTTCGATGGGATTTATATTTCACGAAAAATTCTAGAGAAAAATAAGTTATTTGTAGTGTTATGCAAATATTACAGTTTATGTCCTTCCAAGTTGACTTGATATGTTGATTTACAATAGAATGGATTCACATTTTATTAAACTTAAATAGAGTATTACAATGCTTTTAGAATTCTGTCGATATACGAATAACATGCATAGTTACATGTATTCAAAAACCAAACTGCATAAATAAATCTTTGATTTACGCTCACAACTAACTGAATAAACTTACCTCTGAAAGCAAAATAATCGTCATCTCCTCTCGTAATAAATGATTCAGATCCTGGCCGATATGAAAAAAACCTGTCTTCGATATCTTTACTCCATAATTCTTCATCGCTTTCTGATTCGATTGTCACATCCTCTTTCCTCAACGCATCTTTATCGATTGCTATCGATTCGCGTGCTTCCTTGAGAAATTCTTCTCTTAGATCTGGTCGCCGAAGCTAATCAGCCAATGAAGCATTAGTTGATTTGCTGAATCATAAGCGACGCATCAATGCATGACTCGTAGTCTGTGCTCACAATTTCTTTTAGGGGAATATCCTCTCTCGTTTCTCGTGGTGATTCGTTTTTGACTAGTCGTCCGTCTGGGGTATATCGCTCGGTCGGCTCGTCATACTTTCGGTTTGAACGATAGTGTCTGTATGACATTTTAGTTCTACAGTCTGATTGTTACCGTATTTGCAGTAGTGCGCAGAAATTAAGGTTGAGGTTAAACCCAATCACATTAACGGTCACCGAAGTATGATATAAATATTGAATAATGAAGTTTCTGAAAAATCTTTATTTTCGAAAGTCACTATCACAACGATTTTGGTATCGGTTTGAACAGGGGAGCCCCATTTGGGTCGAGCTTAGTATTTTGTTCGCGGTAAAATTAGATTTACCAAGTATGAAAATTACATAGATATTTTAACGTTATTAGTCTATGGATTCTGCTCGGCACGTACAGTACTCAATTGTAGTACTGCTTGGTATATTTGCCGAAAATAAAGATTATCACATCGATGAATGAATGCAATAAGCAACTTGTTAAGATTCTCAAATACAAACAAATGAAGCCTATTTGGAATGGGTTGAAAAATATGACGCATACCTGTATTACTTATACGTGAAATTAATACCACTTGAGATAACACGGTTGAGATAAATTACAAGGTAAACTATTCAAGTATAAACGTAATATCTTTGATGGTCTGTACTATACCGACTTTTTCATATCAACAGATCTCTACCCGACTGCTTTTCCAAAAATCATTAATTATTCGGCTTTCATGCTATGTTGGATTTCGACCAACCGCACGTTACGCGACGACATAACAGCGAACGACTTGCAGGCTTAGCTTAACTTACGATGAAACTACACTATCGGAAAATATAATCATTCGCAGAGCGACAAGATTCGACTACCGGAGTAGTAGAATTTTTGTAGTTTAAGCGAAATAGAACCTGTCGCACGCTTTGCACTTAGCTAAAGTAATACGCGTTCACAACGCCTAGCACTATGAAATCGGGTAATAGAGCATCCACAATTGATGGAAAACGATATATTGCATCGCATACCTTATCTTTGAGAGATATTTGCCCTATTTATATTGTTGATATATGCTTTTTTTAGCGAGTACGTATATTCGCTGAGCAGACGATAGCGTACGGCTTAATCCCAAATAAACTTAAAATGCCATCGATTCCTTTATTAATCTTTCTGGACGTTTGTATTCAAATATGACTGGATTATTCTCAGAAAATAGTAGAAACTGATCACCTCGACGGATTCCGAATTCGCCGTTTAACAATAATAACGTGAGAATAGAATTGTTATTAAAGCAATAGTTTATTAAGGAAAAAGCATCACATAAATTCTTTCTATAAGAGTGACATAACTGACTAGCACGTAACACAATTCTCTTCAGTGAGAGAATTTATTTGTGATGCATTTCTTTTTGTGTTGATTTTTTTTAAGCTTTGCCAATTCTCCTGTTTTAAACAATTAATCGAAAACCTCAACACCGCAAGGTACGTTCAACATTCTCTTTCGACTGAGCAGTATGTTCACTAAAGACTGAGATTTTATAAACCATTCCATATCTTGTGTAAATTATTTATACTACAGAATTCACGTAGGCATAAATTATTTAGCTTGTAGGCGTCTTAGGTATTCTACCAAAACATTATAAAGGCTTTGCTCGTTGATCAAAGAGTCATGTGAAATTTAAAATTTACTCTTTCTCTCTGAATGTGGTCTTTCTCAATACAGGTTCCCATTAAAAGACAGCTATTTCGCTACCTATCAAGGGCACCTTTACCGGAAAAAAAGCGAATTGATATTGGTCAATATTTAATTCCACTAAAGTCATCCGCTGTTTCTTGCTATCTCTCACCAGGATCATACCCAGAAAAAAAATCAATAATGGCAACATTGATTGACGGCAAAGAATTAGCAAAGTAGGCGATCGAAGAAACAAATTTCGTAGTATTTATGTATGTCAGCAGCCATCGCTAATATATCCCAGATCTATTCGCGAGAAATTAAAGCAAGAAATTACAGATCTTGCACAGAAATATCCCGGCTTCAGACCGCATCTTGCCATTGTTCAAGTCGGATTAAGAGAAGATTCTACCGTTTATGTGAAACAAAAGGAAAGAGCTGCAAATGAAGTAAGAAGTTCTTGCTCTTTTCAGTTTGAAGGTCTTTTCATTAAAATAACCAACTTTACGCCCTCTGGTAGATCGGGATTGAAATTACGTTACATAAGAAAGACAGCACTATTAGTCAGAACGAGGTATTAACTTGAAATTTTGTTGCTTTTAGTTGCTCAGTGCACTGATTTGGCCAGACAACTTCATTCCATGAACGTTTAGCTCTTGGATGCCGTGAATGAACTAAATAATAATCCATCAGTACATGGACTTTTAGTTCAGCTTCCATTACCAGAGCATATAGATGAAAAAGTAATTACAGAAGCAGTGGATCCAAAGAAAGATGTGGATGGGTAGGCAATATTAGTAGTGATATTGTATTTTAATCAAGTATGTGCTAGTAATATATTGTTGACAAAAAAAATTCATCAATTGTGTTTGCCTCATTAGTTTCCATGTATATAATATAGGGAATCTTGCTAAACGCCACAATAAACCCATGTTCTTACCGTGCACCCCAAAGGGCGTTATCGAAATGCTTAACTTTATAGGTAACCCACATGCCCATATTTAAGTCCCATGCTTGAAAACTCTCCTCACTTACGTTTTGGGCAGGTGTGGAAATCGCTGGTCGACGCGCTGTTGTAGTTGGCAGAAGTGATATTGTGGTACGTGATATCGTTTACCCAGTAATACTATTGTTGCAACATTAATAATTTATATGTTACCATGTCGTTCGTAGGGACTTCCCATGTTTATGCTTCTATCAAGAGCTGATGCCACAGTAACACTTTGTCATTCCAAAACACAAAATCTACCAGAAATAGTATGTATTATGTTGACTTTTTTTTGGTAAAAATTATTTTGACACTTTTTCTTACTGCTTATTGTAGTTAAAGACAGCTGATATTCTCGTGGTTGCTATTGGACAACCCGAGTTCATTAAGGGTGAATGGATTAAACCTGGTGCAGTTGTTATCGATGTTGGAACAAATGCTATTGAAGGTTTGTGAAAAGTCAATGTTCTTGTACCTACACTCGTGAAATAAATTATCAATCATTATTTATTATTTCGTCTATTGATGTTCGTTGCAGATGATACGAGGGTATCTGGAGTTCGATGGGTTGGTGACGTTGACTTTGTGTCAGCATCGAACGTAGCCTCTTACATTTCTCCAGTTCCAGGTGGAGTAGGACCAATGACTGTAGCCATGCTTTTGGATAATACTGTTCAAAGTGCAAAGAGGTTTTGGAGCATAGACTAGCACTATCTCCAACGTTCACACCATTAATGGCTGATCTTAACCAACAGAGTTCCAGCTTTGACAACATCGCCTTCCTTAACAAGGATGTTCACAATTCCATCATGTCTAGAATAAAGCCTGACTTCGATCTTCATAGACTCGATCGTCAATAACGGATCATCCTTTTTTACTCGTGACCCGGATTTAACAAGCAGTCGGAGAATTTTACATGGCATTGGTGCTGTATACGGAGACACTGGGAACATTAAAACGCGAAAAATATGTTTAGTGTTGTAATAATGTTGACCAAATACTACATCAAGGTCTGCTACTCACAGTCATCCTCTTCTTGCTTAGATAGCGATATCATTCGTGATATCCGGGTAAACTTCATCTGCGAAGAGAAATCCTTACTGTGCATGTAAACATGTTCCGATTTTTCGCCTTGATCCCCGTTTGCAATATGATAAATACGCTGTATTCCGCCTAAGAAACAAGTGAAAGCTTGAGAAATGTTTCACATTTCACACAACATTATTTATCAAACAGATATTATACCGATTGAACAACGGATGGTGCCATATAGGTATCCTTAAATGCACAATTACAGTATTATTAAAGCATTTGCAATCAAAAAAACACATTTTTAAACACGACTTACGATCTCCTTGAACGGTTGCATCGTGCAATATCACCGACCGCCTAAATTTTTCAGACTTGTCACCACTACTAAGCTGAACGCTAAACTTGTAATCCTTATTTCCCTTCACTTCTACCTTGCCCTCATATTTGTAATCTATCTCAACTTCTCTTCCATTGACTTTGTATTTATCGGTCTGATTCTTATAATTAACATAACGCCATCCAGACGGAATATGCCTCAACGTCGTCCGTTGTCGCTCACGCAGATACCAAAACCATAGAAACGGAATTACAGACAGGTCATCTGAAACAAATGCTTCGTTTTTGATAGCATTCTGAGAAAATAATTCGTCAATGAGATTCGTATTGTAAAATCCACTGGCGAATTGTTTGCTAGAGACGATGATTGATAGGAACAGTTGGTTGGTGACTAGTCCAAGAACAATAGTGTTCTGCAGGGCAAGAGCCATATTATGAAGAGCCTCGCGGCGTGTGGCGCCAAATACTGATATTTTAGAAAGAAGCGGGTCGTAGTATACTTCTACCTCCGAACCTATAAAATCGAGTATCGATTAGCAAATCATAACTTAAAGCCGTCGTTCCTTTTTGATAGTACCTGTTTCAATACCAGTGTCATATCTTACGTTAGGGGTATCAGCTTGCTGCCAATAACAGATCCTACCAACGACAGGGCTGAAATTGTTCGCCGGATCTTCCGAGTACAGCCGACATTCGATTGCGTGACCCTAGTTAAACATCAAATACGTCATTCTATGATATAGCGACAGTATTCGAAAGAAAAAAATAATAATTATATTCAATGTACTTTTATCCTAAGTGTGGGTAGTGTCGACTGTGATAGATCATAGCCTAAATTTTAATAATGATGAGATTCATAGTTATGTTCTGGTAACGCAGCACACCCAAACCGCTCTCTACCTTGCGCCACACGTATTTGCAATTCGACCAAATCCAATCCCGTAATTAATTCTGTAATTGGATGCTCAACCTGTAATCGCGTATTCATCTCTAGGAAATAGAACCTGTCTTTCTCATCCTGTAACGATTAGGTTAGTTCTTATAATAATAATATCTTTTTGTTCAGCTACAACAGGTCTAATTCATACCAGAAGAAACTCGATTGTTCCCGCGCTTTCGTATTTCAGCAACTTCCCAATATCGATAGCAGCTTTCGTCATCCTTTTTCGTACTTCTTGAGTAAGGACGGAACAGGGCGTCTCTTCAATCACTTTTTGATGCCTTCTTTGAACTGAACAATCGCGTTCGAATAAATGATAAACATTGCCATATTTGTCTCCCATCAGCTGGATCTGTTTATATTATTAACATTTGAAAACTACCCGCTTGTATGTAACATACTGCAATATTCAGCATACCTCGACATGTCGTATAGATTCAAAGTACTTTTCAATTAGTAATATATCTGATCCAAACGCATGAAGAGCTTCAGACTTAGCTAGCGTAATCTCTTCGGGCATTCTACCAACAAACTTATCGATAAATACTAGACATCAATGGCAATGATTAAGACATAACGTAAATCCATAAAACATACTTAAATTCATCGTGAACAATCCTCATCCCTCTACCACCTCCCCCAGCCGATGCTTTCAAAAGCACTGGGAATCCTATAAAAACAAGACGGCATGATAAGAATGTAGTATAACTCATTAAAAATCCGTATCAATATTAGTCTGGTTTTTATCTTACCAATTTTCTTTGCTTCAGCAATCAATGTTTTAACGTCCTGATCTGCTCCATTGTATCCAGGAACCAGTGGAACCGATGGTAACTCCTTCGTCAAGAGATTTTTGGCGGCAGCCTTGCGAAATAATACGATAAGTTCAAAGCCAATTGTCAATAGAATAATATATTCTATCAATCTGTTTCATTGCTCTCTTCTTACTTTTTCACCGACTAATCTAATTGCGTCTGCAGACGGTCCCATAAAAATCAGACCTGAACGCTCTACCGCCTCGGCAAATTCGGCATTTTCTGATAAAAATCCGTATCCGGGATGTATTGCATCCGCCCCAACACGCTTTGCAGCTTCAATGATTTTATCACCGCAAAGGTAAGATTCTAGTGCTGGAGATGCGCCTAGGTAGATGGCTTCATCGGATAGTTTAACGAATAGAGCATCTTTATCACTATGTAAGTATATTAAATAAATCCGCGGATAAGACAGATAATCTATCTACATACGCTATCTCCTCTGCATGAAGTATGCTAACACATGAACCAAGTATCACCTGTCAGAATAAACGGCAACATTCATAATGCCCAATTTGTTGCATGTTTTAATGATACGGCATGCAATCTCTCCACGATTAGCCACCAAAATTTTAGAGATTCGCTTAACGTCCATTAATATTAAGAAAATAATCGTCATAAAAATAATTAGCGTATACTAAATATTACACAATATTCTAAAATCACATGGCAGTCATCATTATTATTATTATCCCTTTATTATTATCACCTGATGCCACTAAGTAAATATTAATATGTAGTTCATACGAAACCTTATTCACGAGGAACTTTTATTCACAACGAGGTGCTCGCTAAAGCTCAGTTTAAGTTGTTTTTATCTTTCACATGTAATGTAAATTAAGAGAATAAAAGCCCATAGAAATGGCGGACCGCTATGATGGAAGGGTGTATCTATCTATTGCGGTTTTAGTGAAAGAGTATATTTTCTGTGCGGATATCATGGGGTGTTTGGATCTATGTGTAGGTCTATGGAGCGTAGTGCGGAAAAAAAAAACTGGTTTTTTTTGTTCCATTGCTGATTCACAGGTCTTCTAAATTAATTAAATGACTAAAAACGGATAATTCCTGGACAGGAAAGTTGTGAATACAGGAAATATGAGAAAAATTTTAGGCTACAACCTAAATATTCTTTGCTGACTGTTTTTCGCGTTAGTGAGCGGTTAAGGAAGGTGTTCATATCATCTGAATGAGAGGGGGTAGGGTTGTGTCCGAATGCCCTTGTAAAGGTATTCCAGAAGATACAGTCCCCGGCAAAAGTAATGGCGGTCAGTTTTTTGGACAAAAAAAAATTCTGATAAAATCCAAACACCATGGCTATAAATTTTATTAATATTTAATATTTGGTATGGCCTCCTTCGGCTTCAATACATGCTTGAATCCGATTTTCATGCTACTGATACTGTTAACTATGATGTCTTTTTCGAGACTATCCCATTCGTCCGTAATTATGTCTATAAAAATGTTTTGAGCAATT